CGAGATGGGCGGATCACGAGGTCAGGAGATCAAGACCATCCTGGCTAACATGGTGAAACCCCGTCTCTACTAAAAAATACAAAAAAAAACTAGCCGGGCGAGGTGGCGGGCGCCTGTAGTCCCAGCTACTCGGGAGGCTGAGGCCGGAGAATGGCGTAAACCCGAGAGGCGGAGCTTGCAGTGAGCTGAGATCCGGCCACTGCACTCCAGCGTGGGCCACAGAGCTAGACTTCCGTCTCAAAAAAAAAAAAAAAAAAAAAAAAAAGAATTAACCTAAAAACGACATTGATGATAATGATATCAAACTAATAATAATTATTGACTACCTTCTGTATACCAGGCGCAACACGTAGTGATGAATAAGGACTTTAGGAACTCACATTCAGTTCTGGGAAGAGACTGTAAACAGATAAGCTCATTTCAGAGAGCATGGTACCAAAAAGAAAACAAAAATAGAGTAGAAGGGACTGGGGGCAATCAGGGTGGTTAGGGAAGACTTTGGAAGCCGAAGCGGTGGCAGGGTAGCCATGCGGGGATGAGACTGAAGGGTGTTCGGACAGAGTAGTGAATGCAGACACCTTGAGCCGGCGCTGGCTGGGCACATTCAGGGGACTGGAATGGGGCCAGGTGGCCCAGGACAGTGAGTAAAACGATGGTAGCAATAGGCTGGGTGGGTCTGCAGGCCAGACTCCCGTGCCTCAGGGGACTCCAGACAGTTCACAACACAGCACACGCTCTAGACATCCAGGAGTTCCAGTGACCTTTGTGTACCCAATTTGAAACTTTGTAAGCACTAGCAGTTCTCTGGTTTTCAGCCCAGCTCTCACTTCAAAATCATCTGGGGAACTTTTAAAAAATACAAGTGCCGCGCCGGGCGCAGTGGCTCACGCCTGTAATCGCAACTCTTTGGGAGGCCGAGGCGGGCGGATCACAAGGTCAGGAGATCGAGACCACGGTGAAACCCCGTCTCTCCAAAAAAAAATACAAAAAATTAGCCGGGCGAGGTGGCAGGCGCCTGTACTCCCAGCTACTCGGGAGGCTGAGGCAGGAGAATGGCGTAAACCCGGGAGGCAGAGCTTGCAGTGAGCCGAGATCCGGCCACTGCACTCCAGCCTGGGGGACAGAGCGAGACTCCGTCTCAAAAAAAAAAAAAAAAAAAAAATACAAGTGCCACATGAATAGGATTGGTCTGGTGTGGGGGTCTGGCTTCTCGTGAATGGGATTGGTCTGGTGTGGAGTCTGGCCATTGGGATAGTTCAGAGCTCCAGGTGACTGATGTGCTACGCTGCCGAGACCCCGTGCTTTAGCGCTGGTTGAATGACTTGGTTGGTTCCCAGTTAGAACATTTTAGTTGTGTGTGACAATTCAAATACAGAACTGAGTATCATGCCCCACCCGTAAGGAAAAAGGACTTGACTGGTCAGTTTGATTTTACCTTTTTTATTGGAATAGATAATAGATTACATAGTCCAGAATTGAAGAAACATAGGCCAGGCACCGTGGCTTTTGCCTGTAATCCCAGCACTTTGGGAGGCCGAGGTGGGCAGGTCACCTGAGGTCAGGAGTTCAAGACCAGCCTGGCAAACATGGTTCAACTCCGTCTCTACAAAAATACAAAAATTAGCCGGGCACGATGGCAAGTGCCTGTAGTCCCAGTTACTCAGGAGGCTGAGGCAGGAGAATTGCTTGAACCTAGGAGGCAGAGGTTGCAGTAAGCCGAGATCATGCCACTGCACTCCAGCCTGGGCAACAGAGCAAGACTCCATCTCAAAAAAAAAAAGAGAAAAGAAAAAAGAAACATGAAAGGAAACACAGTGAAAAGTGTCCCCTCACCACTCACCAGCCACACAGCCCTGCAGGAAACCAGTGTCTATTTTCCAGAGATGGTTTATGCAAAATGTCTGCAGGATCTGAGTAATGTCCTGATGGCTAATGTTGGCTATTTATACCTACTTTCTTTTTTTACTCCTCGAATAGGAGTTACCAGAGATTGCCTTTTCAAAACACCAGCTTTGATTGCATTGACCCTATCTTGTGATTATTCTAATGTCAGCTCCTTATCATACCCTCCCTTCAGCTCTCTTTGAGTTTATCTTGCTGCTGTTTTTCAACTTCTTGAGATGGGTTCTTAGCTCATTTGCCATTTTTCTTTCTTTGTAATATACATTTAAGGCCATATGTTTTCTTCTAAGTACTGCTTTATTAGCAATGCCCAATTATTTTTTCAGAAACTTTATTAGGAAAATTTTAGACAGATAACAAAATAAATGAACCAATTTAGCAACTGTCAAACTCCAGCCATCCTTATTCAACATCTACATTCACTCCCTCCAATTATTGTTATCTTTTTTGGTAAATTTTACATACTTTGCAGCCTTAGTACCTTTCAAAATTCAAATAATTCTAATAATTCCATTTGGAATCAAGTAATTCCATTTCTAAAATACATTCTACAAAACAACTTCACACATCCATGAAATGACTTGTATACAAAGTAACTGACTGCAAAATGCCTGTTAATAGGAGACTGACTATATATATATTTTACCCATACAGTGAAATTCTTTTTTTTTTTTTTTTTTGAGACAAGTCTTGCTCTGTCACCCAGGCTGGAGTGCAGTGGCACCATCTCTGCTCACTGCAAGCTCTGCCTC